GATTTCTATTGTTTTTTTCCATCACTTAAATTATGGAGATTAAGAAGTATATGTAGAAATGGAGTGTGTTTATCACATCATCGATACTTGAAGAGAGTGGGGCTTATGCACTGACAGATTTCCAAAGCCTTGTGCTTTTTTTTTGGATGGTCTAATTCTGAGGTGCCAGTCATATCATTTATGCGTTTCAGCTTAGCTTTAAGATCTTGTTAACTGCTTTTGGTACCCCTATGAACACATCAGCAAACCATCTTTCACCAGACAGCCAAAGGTAACCTCTGGACGCAGGCGGTGAGAATCAATATACTAAGAGTATTTTTAGGGACTATTGATGGATTGCTGTATTTTGAGCTTAACTTCAAGTGCCAAATGCCCCAGAGCTGACTAAGATGAACTCACCATTTACTGAGAACCGTATAGGCCATCAGGCATGGAGAGGGCTCCGGGATTGCCAAGACAAGATGTACGCACCTTTTCCCTTTGTGGTTTTTGGGGAGATTTCTTGTGTGTTTTTTAGTAGCCTGATGCGGATTTGAATGAGGACTTTGCACCACTCCTTGCTGGAGCAAAGTGTTACCCGTTGGACAACCTCACAGTCCTTCCTGGGAACACATAACTGTGAGGTTCTAGGGCAGCATCGTACAGCAGCAAGTCAATTAATTCTGCGTATCAGGAGTGATCTGGTACACCGAGGCACTAATGATTCCGCGTCCTGCTCGGAAGGCAGCCCCGCGGAAGGCAGGAGCCAGGGTAAGCTGTGCTGCTGTCAGCAAGCTGAAAGCTGTGGGTCTCTGACACAGCTCTCAATTGCTAGCAGGTTTCTCTCATTGCACCTCATTTGCATCTGGGACATCAATTAGCATGTTTGTTGAGGCTAATTGAATGAAACTCAATCATAGCTCTTAATTGCTTGACTATGTGAAAAGAAATCACATTAATGCAGCTAATTAAGTGTACGGCAATAGATGCAACATAATTAGGAGCGAAATGTAAAAAACAAGGGATGGCAAAGGTGCCTGCGTGGGGTTGCAGGGGGACGGCAGGGCTCGGTTACCGAGCGATCGGCGCGTTCGAGAACGGGTCCCTCTGCTCCGGCGCCTGCTTGCAAAAAATAATCCGCATGATGAGCATGGACAACTTGAGAAGAAAAATGCAAATAGGTTTGCAATTACTACTTTTTCAAGCTGTTGAGGGGCAGGAGATGGCACCTCTGGGGGGCTTGGCTCCTGAGTGGGCCCCGGGGACTTGTTAAGTGCTGTTTAAAAGTACTTGGCTTTGAATTACCCTCATGCCTTGTTAAAGGGTTTTTTTCCCTCTTTTATCTTCCATCAGCATTTTCCACAAGAAACATGGAGAAGGGTAGTGCCCGTGGCATTTGCACATCAAAATCGAGCTTGCTGTCTTAATTTCACCCGGGTCCCCAGCTCAGACCCATCAAGGGGCTGCACATCCCACTTCTGAGGAGACGACATTGTTTCGTGGTTGTAACTTTAATTCCTCAATAACCAAGCCGAGGAGAGATGAAAAGGATGGGTTCTTTCAAAACCAGAAAGCTCAGGGCAGCTTCTCACGGGAGAAACTGGCAGCCGCAGACCTGTGTCTTTGCACCCCCCTGTGCAGAAAGCGCTGGGTTGGAGGGCTCGTGGCGACTAGGAGACGTGTTTTGCAGAGTTTTAAAATTTTTTTCAGTGGCTCGAAACATAAGAATTGCCAAATTCCTATTCTGATTTTTTTTTTTTTTTTTTTAGAGCTAGTTCTTGTGAAGTTTCAGCGCCTGTAACTCAGGCAAGAAAACAGATCCGCCGGCCCATGCTGCGCTCAAGATAAATGTGTTCCCTTGCCACATTCCAGTCCAGAGAGCAGACACCGGGCACATTTCTATAATAATTTTAAATAAAATATCCTGGTTATTGTATGTTAAAACATGCCTATTAAAAGAGCCCATGCTGAGGCTTAGTCACTATCTGATTAGCCTCATTTTAGAGCCCATAAGCAATAAATGCTCAATTACACTCCTGTTATTGTATTTTAATTTGTTAAGAATTGGCATTAAAGAAGAAAGTTATAGCAAGTTGATATTTTTAAAGGAGTAACTATGCAAGAAGGAATTCATTATTTACAAGCATTAACTTTCGGTTTTGAAACTTGGGTTTGCTTGTTTTCGGTGGATATCAGTGGAAGTAAATTCGAGATGTTTAAGAACAACCCTTTTTAAAAAAAAATGGCCTGCGCTAGCCAGAGATCACTTTCTTCTTCCATGTGCGTTCGTTTGCCGTCCGCAACACGTACCACAGTCGTGAGAGTCCCTCTCTTCCAGCCTGCCTCTTCCTTCGCTCTAATTTAGTATAATTAATTTAATAATAACTCTGTGCCGTCCTTGGCCCCCATGCTTTCAAAACCACAGCTTGCTTCACGGTGGATTGTAATTCGGGGAGTTCACCGGAGTCTTCTGTCAGGGGCGGGCGAAGTCAGATTTGCCGTGCCCGGCCTGGATACAGCCTGCCCCTTCCCCAAAGCCACAGCCAGCAACTGCCCTGCATACATTGGAGGCTCCGGGCCTCTGCCGCTGGCCTCCAGGCTAATGTCAGATGGGTGCCTGCCGGGGCTTCCTTCCCCGCGGTTATCCTCTGCGGAGGAGCGCCGGCCTCGCCCCTGCTCCCCCGAATCTGCCCCACTGGGGCGGCTGCTGGGCCTTTCTCCCCTTGCCCTCCGCTGGTGGTTCTCCTCCTGGTCCGACTCAGACTTTGAGCCTCCGTGCTGCACCAAGAGCTGGCGCTTGAGGTCTGTCCTCGGGCAGTCACGTGGACCCTGAGGCATCGTTTGCTCCCGGGTGCTGGTGTTGGCGACCCCCTTCTGGGCTTGTGTATCCCTCTGTCAGCATGTCTCCCTCCCGGCATGGCTGTGTCCTCACCGTGTGCACTTCCTCCTCCCGCCCCCCCTTCTTCCCTGGTGAGATGTCCTACACCCCTCGTCCTGGAGTCTGGGTTGACTCCCGCATGGCCCCCTCTCACTTGCTTGGGTTGGGGGAAGGCCTGCGCTGTGGACACCCCGTCCCCAGCCCCCGCACGCGCTCTCCCCTCCTAGGGGTGGGTGGGAGAGAGCAGCCCTCTCACCGTCTGTCCTGCAGGGCCACGTTTCCATCCCCTGAATTGGAATCTTGTACTTCTGGTTCCTTCTATCAGCAGACTTCCTGCTTGTTGATGCACCAGGGACCCCATCCCAACCCCTTCGCCTGCCAGAGTGTGGGCACTGTCCTGTGGTTGAAAGAGGAGTGGCCTGTTTCCCAGGACCCGCTGGGGTCCTTCTTCAGATCCCCCCTCCCAGCTCTCTGTGTCCCCTGCAGCCCCCTCAGTGCACTCTGGCCGGCTTTCCTCGTCCCACAGACAGGGGCCTCCAGCCCGTGCACTTGGCTTCTAGAAGGAACTTCATCTCGTTGTCTGTCTGCACCACTAACTGTGCCGGTTGGCAGTAAGGAGCAAGCATCTCACTTTTCCAACCTGCCTGGGTCCCTTGCAGCGGGCACGCGGGTTTGTTCGGCAGTTCTTCTAAAATACGTTGACCTGGACTTAATCACTTACAACAAATAACAAACTTACTGGTATTAGAGACTAAAGGAAATTCACAAGATACTGCCAAGGAAAGAATGTGTTTATTCCCACTTCCTGCTTAGCATTGAAACCTTGACATGTGGTTTATCCAAGAGTGGTATTGTATGCAGTTGTCCCTCGGTACCCATTGGTGGCTTGGCTCCAGGACCCCTGAGAATACCAAAATTCTCAGATGCTCAAGTTCCTTATATAAAACGACACGGTATCTGCATATAACCTATGCACCCCCTTTCATAGACTGTAAATTATCTCTGGATTACTTGTAATACCTAACGCAATGCAAATGCTATATAAAATAGTTGTTACACTGTGTTTTTTATTTGTATTATAATTTTTTGTTAGTTTTTCTGTTTTTGATGTGTTAGTTGGATCTGCAGGTGTGGAACGAACAGCTGTGGAGGGCCAGCTGTATATTCTTTCTTAATGTGAAATATCAATTAATGTGTGTGCAGAGTCCTTAGAATACTGTACTGGCAGACAAGGAGGGTTGCTACCAAAAAAATAAAATAGTTGCATTAAAGGGTCAGCAACTCTCAGTTGGTCGTCAGGCACCTCACCCTGGCTCTCGGTGCCTTTTGCCTTCCCCCTTCCCTGCCCATCAGCCAAGTCTTAGGTGGCATTTTGCTCCACAGTGAGTTGTTAAGTGACCAGTGCAAAGAACTTCACTGTCAACCTAGGCTTCCCTGTAGTTCCCTGATAACTGTTGGTCATTTGCCTCTAAGAGGAGAAAGAAGAACAGTCTTTTTAGGAGGGCAGTGAACCTACTTGGAGAAGCATGATACTTGAGTGCCAACTAATGCACTTCTTTCTAACATTGCGCTTTTGCACATCCATCCCAGAGCTCTGTATTTTTTAGTGCCACACCACGAGCCTCCCAGACATCGTTCTCATCTTTAATAAAACACTTGACCTATGCCTACAGTTGTCACCGGAATTCCCACGGAACAGCTTCAGTCTTGTCTAGATATTTCCTGGTATTCCTATCTGAGACAGAAAGGTTTTTACAAAATAATTTCCTACTCCATGCATGGAATTTTACCTAGAATTTACAGGAGAAGCCCAGGTTCCTCACGTGCCATGTCATTAGCAAGAATTCAAAAAGTAGGACTTTATTTGCATACTTATTTTCTGATCCCCCATGAAGGAGACATCTACCGTGTCTCCTGTTTCTTCTAGTGCCTGGGTTAGTTCAGGACACAGAAGCAAACTATGATTTAAATATGATGGTGATGCCACCAGTACTAGACACATAAAAATCGTAGTGTTTTTAACGTGATTCCCACAGTGGAAGGGTCTTAGGATTACAACTCATGATGTCTGATAGAACCTTTTGTCCTAGATTGTAAAAGGTCTTCGTGTTAATCTCTCTTGGATGTTTAACGTTTCAAACAGGATTACATGCAGAATGTTCATGGTAAAGAGATTGATCTGCTGAGAACCACTGTGAAAGTCCCAGGGAAGAGGCCACCCCGAGCCACCTCAGCCTGCGCGCCCATCTCCAGCCCCAAAACCAATGGCCTGTCCAAGGACATGAGCAGTTTACACATCTCACCCAATTCAGGTAAGCTCACAGCACGCATGCTAGGAAACCAGGTTCAGCAGCAGTAGCGGGTACCTGGCTTGAGGACAAGGTGGAACTCTTACGGTCAACTAGGCGATGGTAACTAGCACGTTGTAAAGTTTGGGAACCTCGTCCCTTCTGTGGCTGATTATTTCCTCCATATTTTTGGGTTCTGTGAATACTAACAAGTAAATGGTGGTGCTTTGAGTCACAGCTGCACAAACCAAGCATCTAGGCTGTCCCAGGGCTGGGGGGTTGAAAGTAGAGTTTTACACTTGAATGGACATTTAAGGGCCTTATAGAAAACATGAATTGACTGTTAAAGTATCAAGGAGTAATGGATTTCTCCTAACTATGTATGTGAAATTGGGAAAACAACTTGGAGCAAGACTCAAAGGAAGCCATTTGACCTACATAAAATTTAAATCCTGGGCTGAGTACGGTGGCTAAGCCTATAAAGTCAGCACTTTGAGAGGCCAAGGTGGGGGAATCACTTGAGCCCAAGAGTTGAAGACTAGCCTGGGCAACATAGCAAGACCCCATCTCTACAAAAAAAATTTTTTAATTATCCAGGCGTGGTGGCCTGCACCTGTAGTCCCACCTACTCGGGAAGGTAAGGATGGAGGATCGCTTGAACCCAGGAGTTCAAGGCTGCAGTGAGCTATGACCACTGCACTCCAGCCTGGGTGAGACCCTCATCTCTAAAAAACATAAAAATAAAAATGTAAATCCTCTCAGTCTTACATTTTTAACTGTCATCTGTCACTTTGTTAATGCAACTTTAGTTTTTATTCTCTTTTAAAGGAGAATTTTTTTCATTCAGGATTAAAGAAAGAGTGTTGTCTCAAAATTTGATGTGTTTAGAAATCCTTGGCCTCTGTCCAGTGCAAGCCATTCTGAGTGTCATCGATCACTTGCTTAAGAGTCTTTGCACGTGATGGCACTGTGGCCTCAAGTGACTACTTATCAGAGAAAAGGTATTAAAGACCCACCTGAGTCCTCCCACCAACAATCGGACTCCTTCCACATACGGGTTCCCTTCAAGACTTTTTGTTATTTTCTCCCGTAAAAAAGTCACTTTCTTCTCTCCCACCTCCATCCAGTCTTCTCAAAACATTTCTTTTCTTCAGTAGTTTCTAGCATGTATCTCTGCCTCCCAAAGATGCTGCGTTTTCCCTCTTCTGAAACGTTAAATGCTTCTGAAGAGGGTCGTGATGCTGACTGCACAGTTCCGTGGCGTAAATGACGTAGGTTGGCAGGAGTGAGGGTTTGGGGTCGACTGTGCTGGGCTCTGCCATGCGGTTTTGGGTCACGAGCTGGTTCTTTGCCACGGCGTTGGGCCGATCTTGCCCGTCTGTGTTGCAGAGAGTGGTGTCAGGTAAGGTAACATCAGAGTGCTCAGGAAACATAACACATAACATATGGCACAAATGCAAGCTGTAGCTACCAACTTAAAAATTGTCCTTGTGCTGAAGGCAGCGTGGTCTCCTGGGACCCGCTGAGCTTCGTTCTAAGACTCCTGTGCAACTGCCCTTGTCCGGGTGGGGTGCTGACTCTGGGGTGGGGACAGAGGAAAAAAGTGCCCAAGAAAGAAAAAACATCTGTAGTGAATAAGAAGCTAAAGTCTTCATTACTTTATCGTGTTCCATTATTTATTCATTTATTCAAAAAATATCTGTTGAGCACTGGTTTTGTGCCAGGAAGTGCACTGTAGACATGGAACCCCTGACCTCTGAACTCCTGTGCAGGGCAGTCACCAGCTAATGTCCCACCTCCTCTTCTAGCCTGTCTCATCACATCTACCCATGTATTTGTTTAGTGAGTTCTGTTTTTTAATTGACAAATAAAACTAGTACATATTTATCATCACAATGTGATGTTTTAAAATACGTACACTTTGTGGAATGGCTAAATTGAGCCATCTGTGGAGCTTCTGAGCTTCTAAAATGGGCCAGCCACTGCCCTGAGCCCTGGGGTCACAGGTGAGCAGGATGTAATTCCTACCTGCAAGAACCTCACCCTCTCGAGGAGGAGAAAGACGATGAGACAGCTGCAGTGCGGGTAGCAGGCTGCAGCGGGGAGGCTCGCTCAGGGGGAGTGTGAAGACTCACGACAGTGTGGTCCGTGGTCTGTGGTCGGTGATCCGTCTGCCTGGCTCTAGCCCTGGCGGTGGGGCCAGGCCTCGGGGAATGGGGGTGTCTGTGCTGAGTTTTAAAAGAGGGTGAGGGAAGAGCTGCGTATGCGGAGCAGCATTGAATATGTAAGAGTAGGATTTTGAACTTCCTCATCTTGAGACTTACGTTCTTTGGTGCCGATGCCACTTGTTGTCCTAAGGAAAATATAACGGGTGATTATGAATAGAAAACACAAAAGGCCGCCTAAACCGCAGGGGCCCCTCCATTTGAGGGGGTGAGTTTTGTGTGCAGTGCTCGGTTTTGTTCCCTTTAAGACCCTTGCTTGTTGGGCGCATGAGAGAGTTTGGGACAGGGTCGAAATGCCTTTCCGTGGTCACACCCCTCAGTGTAGGGACGGCACCTCTTTCCAACCCTCAGCCAGGTTAACACCGTGTCGGGAGCCTGTTTGATTGTCCTTTTTCTCTGGAACCTGAGCAGGGGTGTGGGCTTAGGGGTGTGACATTAGCAGGACCACAGAGCAATGTGGGAGGAGAAAATGCCCCCTGGTCACTCACAGGAGTGCTTGGGGACGTGGCACCCTGACCCAGCATGCGGGGAGGTCACGGCGGGTATCTACGAAGAGCGCAGGGGCTCTCAGATGACCACTCCCTGTTGCTTCTCAGCTCAATCCTCAGGTTATGTGGCTGAGCCGCGGGGGAGGCGCTTCCATGAGAGGCGGTACTTCATTAAAATATCGCAGAATTTAATCTGCATTGACCTCCCCTAAACATGCACATTAATCTGTAAAATGACATGTTCTTTCTTGCTTAAGAAATTAAAGCTTTTGGGGATTCGAGGTTTTATCCTCTAAATTACTCTTTGGAAATTGAGTTTCCTGTATTTAAAATCATTATTCATAAAATGCTCTGTCATGTGAAGAATTCAAACACAGCAGATTTAACTGAAATAAGTTGATGCTACATTTAAGTGATGGACTCTTAGCTAAAAATAGGTGTTCGTTATTTTAGAGCCATTTGCCAAAAAATTTAATATGCAACTTAACCTTCTTATTCTTCACTCTCGACTGCTTTGAATTCTCCTATTTTGTTTAGAGTTCTAGGTTAACTGGAGACGTTTGTTTCTTTTTATGTTTCCTTTTTAAATTCATTTTCTTATCTTTTTGTGATTGAATTAGATCAGTGTTTTATGCCTCCCCTTCTAGTGACTTTTTCATTTGCATAGACCTGGTATATATATGTATGTACCTGAATCTTTGTACAAAACACTTACTAGTGCTTTAGAATCAGTGTCCGTAAGTGGAGTGACTCAATCAGCAGATATAATCATTTGTAAGGTTCTTGATATATATTTCCAAATCAACTTCTAGAAAGACTTCATATAAAATACTCTTCCAAGCATAAAGCAAGTGCCCATTTCACCACATACACTTGCTAGTGCTGTTATTAAATAGTCTTTTTAGAAGCTAAGCTCATCTGTGGAGCAATAAAAAATACATCGTGCTTTGATTATTTGGAGATTTCTTCAATGAGTAGTTAAGGTGAACATCTCATGTTGACCATGTGTATTTTTCATGTTGTGATTGTTCAGAAGTATCCTTGGCCCATTTTTATACTAGGTTCCTGTCCTTTTTTTATTGATATGTAAGAACTCTTTGTATATTTAGGATGTTAATACTTTATATTTTACAGATAATTCCCCAGTTTATTATTTGCTTTTTAAATTTTGTGGTCTTATTTACATGTGTAATGTAAGGTTTTCCCTCTTTTTTATTTATGATTAAATCATATCTTTTACTTCTGTGGTTTCTACTTTAAGCTATTTGCAGAGTTTTTAACAATTCTGAAATTACATCACAGTTCATATGTGAATATTTCTAAGTTTTATAGTATCTTTATTGGTTTTCAGTGGGGTTTTTTTTTCTTTTATTTTCCTTTTTTGTTTTTCTTTTTCTTTTTTAAATATTTATTTTTTAAATATTTAACCCCTACTCCACCTTTAATTTGTTTCGGCCTACTGTGTGTGACAGGAGATCTAATTAAATTTTTTATTCAAATAAATTAACCAATTGTCCTTTTGCTCTTTTTTAAATTTTTTCTTTCCCTGTTAATTCTATGTGTCTCCTTTGTTGTACAACTAAATCATTTAATCACATTGGCTTTTTCTGGGCTCTCAAATCTTTTCCACTGACCCACTGCGACTACATTGCCTTCCCTTGTGTGGAACATGACTCAATTTATATCTGGTAGCATAACACAGTTTAATACTTGTTATCTTCCAGCTTTTCTTGGCTGTTGCTACCCATTTATTTTTTTCAAATGAACTTCAGAATAACTTGAAGCCTTCCCCTTCCCATTGTGACCTCAATTGGCACTGTTCTGAAGCTGTCGGTTAATTGCGTTGGAACTGACACTTTCGCTATGTTGAGCTCATCATGGGACAGTATTCCTTCTCAGTTTATTCAAATTTTTTTTTTACCCCCCGGAGAGTTTAGAGTTTTTCTTCATGTAGATCCTGGATGTATCTTGTTAATCCACTCTGTTAGCTTATAATTTTGTTGCATCGCGAGGCTAATCTTTTTTGGAGGGGTAGGGTCTATTATCTCATCTAATCGGTAAGAAGTAAGAAAGCTCTTGATTTTTATGTTTTGTGTATCCAGCCATCTTACTGAACTCTCTTTGTCGTAATGGCTATTTGGGTGTTTCTCTTGATTTTCTAGTATATGGTCGTAATGCATTCTATATTTCAAATATTGTAATGTGGATATTTCAAATATATTTCAAATGTATTTCAAATATTTCAAATATTGTCGATGTGGACTTTTCATTTCTACCAACCAGTTCACTGACTCGGATACCTCATTGCAGT